TTCATTCCTCTACAATTTATAAGAGTCTTCCCCTGGAGGCCCTTATAACGTAATGCTAACCTGTTGAATCTGCCTCATTTCGCAAAGGGATGTATTTTGCAGATTGTTTTCCTCGGTTCCATCTTGATGAGCTGGTTGGACAAGTGCTTGGCCTCATGCGTTTGGAATGAGGATCAGGTTCTGTGAGGTAATGAATGTTGTAGTTGATTAACAAAGGAGCTCTGGGGAAACGGTGCCTCGAATATATTTGACATCGAATATTCCAGGTTACCGAGGTGCTCTTGAATGATACGATACTAACGTAATGAATCTTCATAAAAGCAGCGATATGAATGGATCAGTCCTGCTGCAACTTTTAGAAAATGTATTTTTAATACAGAAACCCACTGGGTCTCCTTTCCCATTATTAAAAAAATTCTTCTATGAGAACTGAGGTCGCACATGATTCATAATTGACATACCTGGCAGCTCATCATTCAATCTCTTAGTCTTTATCAAGAAAGGCTTGGACTTGATTTGCTCACTGGCTTCGCTGTCACCAAAGACAGCTTGGACCAACAGTTCAAACAGGTTCCTCTCCTGTGTATGAACTTTTGCTAATTTGTAGACTGGTCTTTCAGAACCCTCCATCTTGTAAACTGAGTCCAGATCTACCTGATATTCCTGCTGAAAATCACGGGATGATGGGACAAATAACATACACTTCGTTTAAGTTGTTGATAAAATAAAACAGGTAACTGGATCGAAGAGGAGAAACTCGGATAGAAAAAGTGTTTCTAACACGTTATTATGGTATTCTTTAAACAGCACAGTTATCTAAGCATTGATTCTCCGAATACTTCTTGGAATAAGGTTTTCTTGATTTTTGAACACTCTGTCATTATAATCACCTTCATCATCGCCATTCACGTGGATTGCTAGGTGCATTTCTCACTCTTTGCATCTGATTTACTGACATTCAACTCACGCAGAATGTTAGAACACGTTAAAAGTTTGCAAACCTCAAGACATGGGCAAAGCGTGCCTAACAAACTTTTCTAGTGTTCATCAAAGATCCCAGTTAATTCGAAGGAAGGCTGACCGATACTGTTTCTATAGGTAAATTTGGGTTTACCCCACCATGGGGCTTTGACCAATCAGAGTGTGCGTAGTATCTCAGATATTTCATGATAAACAGTGACTGTAGGATATCGACTTTGATGTTGAGCGACACAAATGCTGATAAAAGCTGGGTCAATTAGTTTTTTTCGATAAAATGACCAAAAGCAAAAAATCTACACAGTTTCACTTACATATATATGACCGCTTTCCTTAAATTTCCTCAGAAAGTCAGTTTCAATCTCAACCATACCATTAGCATCCTTTTCTAACTTTGCAGCATTTTCCTCTCTTCTTACCCAGGCCTTCACCTTTTCAATCGGACGCTCAGATCGTACTAGAAACTTCACCTTTCCATTAATGATTCTTTGGCGTGCTTTCTTGTCTTTACGGCTCTGTTGTTTCTCAAATACACGATCTTCCAGATCACAAAACTTTACTTCCAGATCTGGACGCAAATATTGATCAATATCGATCTTGGAGCCGGAATTAAACGGCGTGATTCCAGCCAAGTCACTCGACACATCTTGTCGAGGATAGCTTCTAATTCGATCACTTTGTGCAAAGCCAAAGGGAGAAGTTCCACCACCGTCACTAGTCAGAAAATTCGGCGAGGATATTATTTGGCCAGCGTTTTGACTATAAGGAAACGGAAGCCTGTCCTGTTGGCTGCCCGTTCCGAAGATTCTCGGGACGCTCGATGTCATAGCGGAACTACCCGAAGTGTTTCCGATACTCAACGCTGAAGATGACGACCGTACATCCGTACTACCAGACCTTTCAAAGAAGCCGGAAGAATAATCAAGGGTAGGTGAATGACAAGGAAACTCTTGCCCCTGTGTTATTTCAGCGAGGATACTGCTCACTTGAACTGGAGATATGCTGAGTGGCACGTTCTGTCCAGTACCTTCAGTATGGATGTTTTCAGCTAAGTTTCGCAGATAGTTGGTTTGTTGCTGAACAGAAACCTCATCATTATTCCCCAAGAATGAGTCACCCTGACGATGCATTGAGCCGGAAAATTGAGGTTCTGTAAACAAATATACGATGACGTTTGGAAGGTTTAAAGACAAGCCATTACTTCAATTGAGTGAAAAATCAAGTACTTGAGCTATTTTAAATTAAGCTTTAATTTTTAACTGATGTAAGCTGTCTTTCAGTTGTTCATTCTTCTCAAAACGAATGTAACGAATATTATCATCTAACTGCTGAAGGAGTAATTCTAAATAATGAACCAGTTTGAATACAGATTACTGACACGACAAATATGGTCAATAATGAATTCAAAGTCTTGTTCTAATTTTTTGTGTGCTACAACTGAAGGCTGAAATATTATTAAAGGAAGTGAAAAGGTCTTACAGGAAATGCTTCCCAAATTTTCTTCTTTGAAAGGTGAATGTTTGATTTGAGGTTTCGAAACTCCCTAAGCAGGTGTCTTCAAGTCATAATTCTAACTAAGCGTGTCTTATTACAATCAAAAGCAGGAAAAGTCGACAAGTCCCTTTCCTAGAAAAGAATCAGCTTTACTCTCATTAAAAAGTGGTTGTTAAGTATTTAGATTTGCCCTTAAATAGAAGTGAGCCCAAATAACGAGTGTAAAGCTCTGTCGAATTAATGATCATTTATCTCGTGTGGTTCGTAACTACAGCGTCTCATCTCTAGTCAAAAATTTTGTTCTCTTTATTTGCCAAGGCGTTAAAAGGTCAAACTAAGTGTAATTCACGAACCAAAAACCTCTATTTTGATGATTTGCCATCACTGGATACTGATCTAGAGGTATCAGTAGGCTAAACAAAGTTCACTGATGAAAAAGGAAATAACATCGATACTACTACAATTTCCGTTGTATCGGCTTGAAAAAAGTTCTCATTTAAAAAGCAACATCGCTAAAGCTAGACAAATTGATTTTTTTTTAAACTTAACGAAAGATAAAATTGGAATGTGTCAGTTATTAACCCCTTACCGTTGTTTGGATGGTGAGGGAGCAGTCTTTCTCGTAGCGAACTCATAGTCTCTGAAATTAATCTCCCGTTTCAGGCCATTAACCAAGTCTCCACCAGCTTTCCCTTGTTTATGTTGTTTTGTTTTCGCAGCGCAAAGACGAATTTGCCTACCCACGAAACTTTCGTAAAGTTGGTACGAGCCATAGACAAATAAATAAAAATGTTTGGCACTGATTGGTTTAGTGCAAAGCCAAGTATGAGACGGAAACAGCACAATTAGCGACGTCAATGGTTCATTTAGCTATTGTCTTAATCAAGTCTTAAACCCTTCTCAAATGCACTTTTAGTTTCACTTTATACGGCTTTTAGTATAAATATCGCTATTTTTTTTTTCTTTTTTTTTTCAGTTATTGTCTAATCACCCTCTTTCAATGCAAAATTCAAACATACCCTTCACTAAAATCATTACTAGACAGAGCTGTTCTTAAAAAGGAGAACAAAAGTATTGCCCTAAAAACCAAGAGATGCGCCGCAGGTTTTTATTCATTTGGCCACAACTTACATGTTTAATATCGTTGAATAATAAAGATAAATTAATATTTTCTATTGGTATTCTAACCATAATCTCTTTGCTAAAAGCTTTTTTCAGTTTCTCTATGACAACAGTAATTCGTCTTAGGTAAAATGGAAACAGTGTACGAATTTGGATACTTTTGCGTCTCCGAGAGAGGGAAGCGCTCCCCAATAAAAACTTTGTAGGCATGTTTCGCCCTGTGGGCGTGAATATGGAGCCGGTTTGATACGAAAACGATCAATATTTAGATTAGATATGAGCACACAGTGTATGTATTACCAGGCTTGAAGATGGCAATGAATTTAAAAAAAAGCTTCGTTTGAAAACAGGTGGAGGATCAAGGATTTTGAGAATCTGGCGACGTACCCCTGCCTACTAAAATTTTTAAATCCACCCCCCTCCCTTCCCCCACTCCCAAGGACGTTTGATGATGGTTCACATGGAGTTTTTTAAAGTACAAATCGAGGTGGCCTTTGCTTCTATTGTAATAGCTCGCGAGAGCGCTCTTGTCGATGCTGCTGTTCGATTATCTCGCAGGCTTGAGTGTCGAGCAAGCGGGAGGTTTGCGAAGAATCCGGCTCGACTCTCGTTGATCTAGCAAGAAGCCCGCGAGATGCCAAATGCAGCAACGCCATAGGGAGCCTTCTTGCAGAATATTAAGTTTAACAATGCTTTTTATTTCCGGTTAGAATTTCTATATTATCAATGTTACGATGTAATCTCAGCTACTTAGACTTTTATAGCGTCACGCAACAAAAGAATTACGTGACAAAGTCAGTATTGGACTTAACCACGAATTTTGCTCTTTGCCTATTGACGACTATTTCAATTCAAAGAGGCAACAGATTTACCTGAAGTAAAACATTGTTTCTTCGCTCTGGAAATACACACAGGTTTTCGCTTTCCAATCTTTAAGATCATGCCTTTTTTAGGGCGCATGTCCATGAGTAAACAGGAAGTTTGTAGCCTCGTTTCTGAGAATGACAAAGGGAAAGCCCCACTATATCTCAACAGTGTCAAAATCAGCTCACCAATCGAAATAATTAGTTATTAACATTCCATCATCCTAGATTCTTTTTTCACCGCGCAAAACCCACACAACTGTTTTAGCCAAGCTTGTGGCGTGTTTGGAAAAGGACACTCAACGTATTGTTGTCTACCGATGCTGTAAACTCATAAAGCCGATTCCATTGTCAGTGGAAAGAAAACAACTTCGTTCAGCCGGGAAAGATGGCTGACCGTCAGAAACAAGCTGATAAAGAGCTGACACAGCCATTGCTGTCTAGCGACGAAGATCCTTACGGTAAAATAACTTCATTATTTGTGGTCTTAACCCTTTGCGTGTTCAGTCACCTTATTTTTTTTCTTCAACAAGCCACTATTTAATCTGAATATTCAAATAGTTTAAGTGTGGTAAATAATGTAATTGTAAGCTTGGCGAGTTGTTTTCTCGTTGCGTTAATGATAAACGAGCTGCGCCAAACAATCAGCCATCAATCGTGGGATCGAACAAGAATGAATTCTTTTTCATCGGGAACTTTTTTAGTTTCAGTTTCGGCCGATGAAGTTGCGTTTCTTTGTATATTTCTGTCGTATTGACATCATACTTAACACATATCGCGCTAGATATTTTGGATAACATTAAAAACAGTCGAGTGCACTGCATTACTCCTTTAACAAGAACGTTCTTGCCTTACACGTATTTTTGTTCATCTAATTCCTCACTGTTTGATCGAAATGAGCGATAAATGGTGTATATTTTTCCACATCGTTTCGGCTTCAGCGAAAATGTAGAAGAGTATTGACAGTTCATACATGAAGGAATGTGAACGATGGGGTCTATTTTTGACTGCCATGTTTAGATTTCTGACCATCACGGAAACATCGCTACCTTCTGTGCTAAAGGTTAATAGTAAAGCCTAATAAGTAATCATGAAGCTTTGACACCGGCATTTGTTCTTTGATTTTATATTTGCGCTGTGAGTTAACTGAGTTTCTTGCTTGACTACGGTTTCGAAACCTTGAAGTCAAAAAGCCCTTTGTGCACAAAATCAATTATGTCCCCTTCATGCTCCTGGGAATATAGTTGTTGCGGAAAGAAACGGAAAGGACCCTAGAAAAATCTAAAAGAGAAACGTAGATAACAGTATCAGTAACATTTTTCGCAGGACTGTATTGGCATGTTTTCAAAACTTGGGAAAGGGAAAGAGCTCCGTAAAGATTTTGCTGTTTCCAACCATATTTGGTAGAGATGATCCAATTATCCAAGGTCTGCCATAACTGACGAGGCTACCAGCTTTTACGGAAACAAACAGATGGCTTTGAATAATTTTTTGGTTTCTTTTTGATCATTTTCATTTTTCTTTACATTTCTATATTCAGTGCTGGTTTAGTCTTCAGTTGTATTAGGTGGAATCATCATGGCAGTAAGCTCGAGATACCAGAAGCTTCCTCGCAGAGAAGGTATTGTTCGGCAACCTCGAAATAAACCTCCAAATCGCGATCGACAAGTTCTCTCTATCTTCTCCTAAATGTGTTATCTGTCAACTTTAATTTGAGACTTTCTTTTGAAGTGAATCAAACAGAGCAAACAAATGCAAAAGATCATGTAAAGCCCTATCATTTGAGCCAAGGTATTGTGACAAAAATTTCATTTAATTTCTCAACATAATACTGAAGGAGAAGAGCGGTTTTTTCCTTTTTTTGTAGAGTTCTTTTTCTTTTGAGTTGCCTTAAAATGTCAAATGTCTGAATGTGAAAATCACTAAATGGTTTAACATAGAATAGGCACCGAGGAAGTTTATCCTAGCACGTAAACAATTCTTGCGAGGGGTCATTCCAACCCAACAAAATTAATATTAAACTGCTGTTAATGTTAACTTTTCAGACTGTCCTTTCTCCGTTGATATATTCATGTTTGCTTTGACTTAAAGATTTCATTACAGTCAATCAAAGCCAATAAGAACATGCACTCCACTATTACGGAAATGATTTTCTATTACGATAAGTTTGAATTTGGGGATTTGAAGTGTTTACCGGTTTAATCTGGAAGGTCAAATCCACACGAAGAAAAGCCGATTTCAAAAATATCACAACGAAAACTCGTATCATCAGGAGACGATATGAACGTCGTAATATTCAACACAATTGTTCAATGCCAGTTGCTTGAATGACTAAATTTCTATTTCAGAAACAATCTCGCACAAAATAACGCTGGCTATCACTATCATAATTGCGATTACCGGCTCGGATTTGTCTTTTCAAGTAACCCATCCATTATTTTAACTCCGTGTTTAGCCTCAAATTAAACTTACTGATTAAGTATCGGCAGTAACAGTTGACAAATTATGGCATTAATGTTCTTCAGAAGTGATAGAAAGAAACCCCCAAGTAGACTGTGGTGTAAATATTGAATCTTTTGCAAATGATTTATTCATGGTCAAAGGATATCAATGATAGCACAGCAAGATTCTATTTACGTTGCCGAAGACACTCTCATCACCTCAAAATTGCTTAATGACGCGAGCGACACGAGAACCTTGTCAAAATCTAGTTCTGGAAGAATACATTCTTTTAAATTTAAATGTAAGCCTCATGGATGGTTCTTTGGAATCAGTGATACATGGTGATTGTGTGACGCATAAAGTTATTTACACTTGCACTTATCCCATGCTGGACTGCTTTCAAGCTAACCCACTCCTCCCTCATGACTTTTTCAAGAGTCATCTCTTGCTTTTTTACGACACGGTGCTTTTTTTTACCATCCTGTAGAACATGATAAATTAAGTAAACGATAATACTCATCCCTAAAATCCTCTTTAACAAATTATTATTGGTGATATCTTTAGATGCTTTACCAGTGTTTATTGGCTCCACTGGAAGCGATGATTTTCGCGGCGGGGCAGAAGTTCGGTTCATAACCTTGGAAAACAAACCGGTGTTTGACAAAGTGCAATCACGAAGTGGAAACGTAGCGAAACAGCGCGTTCACGATGGAGTCATCCAGATGGAGGCAATTTCTCCGGTGGGTCAGATCCTAAGCATTAGAACATGGGTATTTCGAGAGCCAAACGCCGCGCAACTCCACAAAGACAAAAACGGACCGGTGGAACTTCAAGTTACATATGGACAACACAATATAGAAAAGGTATTTTTCTTCGTTAGTTTATGTAGTACCCATAGAGATTTAAGGAAGGTCTCGAAACAATGTTAAAAATCGACATGAACAGAACAAAGGCAAATCTCACGATCCACACAAAACCTTTCTCCTTGGTGTAGCAATTCTTCTCAGTGAACCTGGACTCAGTTTACGATGGCCCCATCGCACCAGTGTACGAACTGGCCAAAGTAGAAATGGACAAGAGGAATCTTTTTCAACTAATAGTTGAGCTGTCTTTTCACAATGGAGCAGGAGAAGAGTCACAGTCTTTTTATAGTAAGCCATTCTTGATCAGGAGCAGGCCCAGAAATAATCCCAGCAAGGCAAAGCCTGGGATGAAAAGGCCGAGAATCGTTCCAGGTAGCCTGAGATTTCGTTAATTATTTTGTTTCCTCTAATGTTAGTAAATAAAAAGTTGTGTGGTATATTTTGGTTTACTTAAGAATTTGAAAATGTATGCCAGACAATAGTCTCAAGTCGTTGGTTGTGACAACTTTCGAAGCTGTTGTTTGTATTTATTTTTGAATATTGAAGACTTGACAAGTATTTGCCAAACTACCCACCCATTCATGTGCGTTAAGCAAAGAAACATGCAAATGCTCGTCGTAAGCAAGGAAGCTATACTCAAAACGGCAAAACTTTTGAAGCAGTTGTAAAATAGCTTCCAAGCAATTTTGGATAAAAGAAATATTGTGCACTAAGCAAAAGAGGGTTTTACAATGAGTCTTTTCTAGAGGGAGTGGTTTGATCAGGGTATACTTGTATGATCAAAAAGGGCAGAACAAAACTTGATTTCAAGGAAGACAGTTGAGTAAAAGTAGGAAGTGGAAGCTTTAATAACAGTTCTATTTCTCTCAATATATCTGTTTTCCCTAAAACATGATAAAATCAAGGAACACCGTCAGCCAGTATAACTTTTGATCCTTCGTTTTATGTTTTCACCCAATTAAATTTACTTGCAGTACCTAATAAACGTTATGACCTAGGCTTCACTCCACTTATTTTTGGTATCTTTATTTAAACAGACAGCACAGGAGAAGAAGAAGAAGAAGGAGAAGGTTAGTGGTCAAACCTCTCTTCATTAACGGAGAAGTTAGAGAAAGTTATTTATAAAAGCTTAAGTTTACATGAATGAATAATCATTCTCTGCTCGCGCGGTGAGCCGGCGACTTTTTACGATGGATCTGCCAAGTTAAAAAGTGGAAGAAAACTATGTATGAATGATGAAGATAGGTGGATAGAAAGAATTTTAAATGCCTTCATATAACTACTATTCATCACTGTCTCGCCAATTAAGTTTAAAATAGGAGCGGCGCAAGATATGTCATTTTCATCAAAACAAGGGTGTAAGGTCACTGTACATAGTTATTATAATTGTCAGCCAATTTTTTTTGATAATATCCACCAGCTACAATTGTTTCCCTTTTACATTTTTAAATTTGCAGACTCACCTGTTCATTTCAGTCCAGACAGTTCTGTTAGCATGACAGGTAAGTAAGTTGTTGTGAATAATCCCCTCCCCCAGCCCCGCCCTGTCTCTTCGGACGTGAAGCTTATGGGCACGAAGCAGGGTTTCCCTTCGCGCAAACGCACAATCAGTAAAACACTGATTGAAAATAAAAGTTTTTATCAACTCAAGGGCACTCAACATGGTAACTGAGTAAATTGAGTTCACTGAGCCAAACATTTATTTCAAGAGTTGAAATCTCCCTGCACCTCAATCCATGAAATTTTTTGATTCATTACTACGCTGTTACAAAGTTTGCAGTGCTCATCTGGCTTCAATTCGAACGTAAAAGAAAATAGATACGAAGTAAAGTATTTTCCGTTGAGTGTCGTAAAACCGAAACCAAAGAAATCACAACTACCAAGAAGAATAAAAGTAAATTCCTTCAAGAGGCAATGCGAACTCATAGTACGAACGACCAAACTGCCTAAAGCGCGGTAAAAAGCACGCGACCAAGTCAAGACTGGTTTTAGTTTTGCGTCTGATTGGTCGAGAGCGAGGCACAAGTCTTTGGTACCAATCACAGAGCGAAGTGAAGAAAATACAAAGCAATCCCGCATTACTTTCGACATTCCATTGAAATTGCTCTAAGGCCTTCAGAACCCGTCTCATCAGCGTCAAGCAGATATTGGATTGCACAATGTTCCCTTGCTCATCGAGCCATCAAGACATTGTTGTTTAGAAAATGTTGCTATATTTAATATCTGAACATCTTTTCGTTGCCTTCTTCAGGAGGATCGGTCGAGTTTCAAAATCTACGAGTAATTGACCACTTGGAAGCCAAGCGTGCGCACATCGAACACCTGTCGTTTGTAGTCTCTAATGCAGGTGCGAGGAAGGCCGACATTGGATATCACTTCAAACTAAAAGATCCTGACCTGTGTGAAGACTTTGAAGAAGGAGATGTGGTCGGCTTCTTTAAAGGTGACGATGGGAGAGCATCCATACAGCTGCTGAACAACAAAAATGGAAAAGATGCCGTCATGGCGGGCGTCGTAAGCCGATCAGCGTACCTTGAAGCCACACCTTCTATTAGTGAAGACGGTTTGTTCCTAACTAATCTTGTTATTTCCACATTACAATCCAGTAAAGTTTAAAGGGCAACAAAAGTGCATGTAGCAGAATTTCATATTTATTAAAACAGATCTGAATTTTTTATGCAGGGTTGCAATCACGTTGGATGCTATAGTTGTGAGCTGTGAGTTTTTTTTAACTAGCTATGTATATGACTAGCTTGCCAAAATTGGTAGGGAATTTACTGGAGGTAATGTTCCTTCTTAGATCCCACTGATGTTGTTTGCGTTATCGGAGTCATCAAAGTGAAGTGTGTGGGTTCTGTCCGGGCGGGAGAACGACTTTACGCTTCTGTGGACTTGGACAATCCTGGAACAGCCATCCCAGAGTCCCATCTGCCTCCCAGTGTGCTCCTCGGCAAAACAAGTACATTACTTGGCATGGCAATGGAAGAAAAGAAAGCCTCCAAGCTGGATGATGTACATTTGGTTCAGTGCTTTGTGTGCATAGTGCTGGGAGTGTGTGATAAAGAAATTGCATCGGAAATAGAAAGCATGTACTACCACTTTGAGATGGATTTGGCTATTAGACTGCGAAGAGAGAGGAAGAAGACTAGAAGACGTAAGTAATATTTTCCTTTTTTTCTGTAGAGACCTCCTTACATGAAACAGTGTGGCCGAGTGGTTAGGACGCTGGACTTGTAATCTGGTTGTCCCGGGTTTAAGCCCTTCGCTCTGCTTATCAATGGATTCGTTTTCAGTTGCCCCAAGTTCAACTCCTTGGCTGCACTTGATGTATAGCCAATTGGTTTTCCTCCGACCAAAAGGGGCTTTTAAACATTTATTATTAGTTTAGTATTAATGTTTCAATTTGTTCGTATTGGCCCTGAAAAGCTTCATCAGGGAAGTGATCATCTGAGGCTTCAAACATACACATACAAGCATAACTAACTGATTAAACCATCGATCGATTAATCGATCGATTAATCGCTCGATCAATGTCTTGCTTGCTTTTAATGTTGATCTTTTGGCTAATCGACTGATTTTGTTGAATCGTCTTCCTATCTAGCTTTTTAAGCGTGATTTTATATTTCTCTTACTCAGTGATGTGCGTGATGGGGTGGGGCTTCGTCATTCTGCTCATTTTGGTTGCTGTTTTTATGTACGAGTACTTGTATCCGGGAAGTGCATTACGATACTGGATATGCAAACAGGGATCCATTCCAGGTCACAGGGCTTCATTTAGATATATTCCCGCGTCCCAAATACATCAGGTACGTAAGTAAATGATCTACGTATTGATTAAAGAAGGTAAGTTTATGAAGAAAGTATGGTACTGCGTCGATTATTGCGGGGTTTTGTCAACTGAGTCGATAATGTGGCCAGCGTAAGTTTCTAAAGCGAAAGTTAGCCCTTCGACTCTTCGATGTGGCGTAAAGCTTAAGTTAAACATCAGCTTTAGAACTTTTTTACGGTGGCCAATTTACATTACATGCAAGTAACTATTTCAATTAAAACAGAATGGCTCAAAAAAATAAAATATGGAGGTAACTTTTCATGGTCCGTTCAGTCTAAGATGAACCTTGTAACAGACTCTGTAATCTGTAAAGTGGATGCTCTGAACTGAAAAGGTCTGGGTATGGACTAACGAAATGCGGTGGACTAACGAAATGCTCGGGATAGCTCACCGTGCTAGTTGTTTTATACCACGGAAACCACGATACGCTTTGTAAAATGCGCAATTAGATTGGAGTGGTATGAGTAGTCAATTAAAACGTGATCGAGCCAGTCGCAATCGGTTAAATATCGGCATGACATTGGTTAAAAGTGGTTTTAGGAATACTGTAGACCAATCACAGTAAATGGTGAAGCAAAACTGAAACAATTCTGGATTACATTCCAAGTAATATATCCAACTGCAATTGCAGCGTTGTGATGCCCGTGGTATTGAATTCACTTGGGATGGACTTGAACAAAAAATGTCGCCGCATTTGGACGGTATTCCTCCGCTAAATTCTACAGGTAAGCCCACCTGTAACAACACCCGTGTAATGCCTGGCTTGAGTCAACTTAGGATAAGGAAAATAGAACAGATTTGATAGAAAGAGAATTTTCCAAGGCAGTTTGGTAAGTATTAGTCAAGTTAGCTGAGTTTAAATTCCTTGAATTGTTTTTTTCTGTGTACAAAAAAAAAAGAGTGTCATGCGGAAATGGTGATGGATCAAACCGCTCACGGCGACGAGGGAGGTATTTTTTAAACAATGAATATTTCTACGGGGATGTCTGAAAGTTGCAAGCCTTTGAATAGAAGGAATATGTTTCTAAAGAAACTGTGGTTCTGGGTTTGTTGGGATATTACAAAATAATTTGGTTTTATCAACTGAGTTGATAACATTGATTGGCCCTTGCAAAGGTTTACAGCTGATGTTTCGAGCGTGTCGCTCTGAAGGAAGATCATCACTCGAAATGTTAGCCTTGGAAATCATTTGCGGTAGCCAATTTACATTATCAACTCTGTTTATAATACCAAATTGTCTTTTACCATTAATTCAACCTTTTCATATGATAAGTACTTCATTTGATTTATGAATTTGATTTCAGCTGTACCTGGTGAGCACCATTACTATCTAAACTGGGATCGATGCGCTTATGGTGGAGCGAACAAGCTGTCTGCTCAAGTCCAGGGAATTTCTAACAACAAACAGATTTGCGGGCCGATTATCTTTGCCATAAATTTTAACTGCTCCATTGTTTATTACTACCAGGATAAGCCTGACGATGGCTGGAAGAATTATACGTCGGTAGAAAACAAAGATCTGCGAGATTATCTTAAATGTATACCTGCAGAGGAATTTAAAATATAAGAGAGACACGAAGTTGAGGTCATGATTTGAACGTGTAAGGAGCAAAATACCTTCAATTTCACAAAACCACAAAATGAATTTCGGGTTAACTAGAGCAGTTTTCAATTGAGGTTCGAAAATCCAACACCAAAGTAATCACAACTACCAATCAGAACGAAGGTTAACACCATCATCAACCAATAGAACTCAAAGCAACAACAGGCAACCTTCTTAAAGCACGAGAAAACGCGTGTGACCAAGTTAGGATTTGTTTTAGCTCTGCATCTAATTGGATGATTTGTTGCCGCGAGTTTTCTAGATCAATCAGCGAAGTAAAGCAAAACCAAATTAATCCCGTATGATTTTCGACGCTCAGATGTAAAGGTCTCTAGAACAACACGAACATGGAAACTAAAGAAGAACGAAAATAGTTGAGGATGGAGACGATTGATGTGGATTTTGTAGATGAGCAATTTGTAAATATTAAGGGTAAATTTTAAAAGATTAACAGACCGTGACGTGACTCCTCTAAATGAGAAGAGATATTCTAGAGAACATTTGTTTTCCTCTCTGCTGGTTATAAGTAGCTATGAAAATAATCAAGACGTAGACTGCATTTTAAAATTCCATTCGATTCGGGACAACCAGACAAGCAGTTAGTTGTGGTTGGCTTGTTGTAGTTCTGCGTGTTTTGGTAGCCAGAAACTGACTTCTTTCCAAAATTCTATCGTCCATAGATAGATATAAAATTTTTTATCACATTAGAAAACGACATTTAAACGCTTAGATTACTCTTTGGAACCTCAACGCGCTACGTGGTAATCTTTTTATGGTACGTTTATAAAATGGAGATAAGAACTAAAGTATTTATGAGGCATACCTCTCCTTTGGAATTAGAGCTAAATCTGATTGACCTTTATATTCCATATATTATTTACTGTGCAAGCCATTCGAAAATTTCCATGGAAAAATATTCTTGTTCAGGAGCTTATTTTCACTTGAAGGTTTTTTTCATCTTTCTTCGGTTAGCCATTGAGGTTTTCGTGAGCATTGCTACTTTTCATCAAAGTTTATGTTGGAGGCCTCACAAACAACAAAATGACATCCCTTCAGCATGAAATGGTCAAAGCGTTTTGGAAGGGGTCTTGAGCTGTATATCTAGCTGATAAAAGCCAAACCAAAGTTCAAATCACCATGGCATTGGGTAGTAATTCGATTAAAGTTGTGATGTAAGATGTAGATAAGTATAGGTACCTGAATATTCATGCTTCTTGCTTTTAAATTTTCGTAGGCAAAAATTTGTCAACACTTATTTACTCATATGCTAAGCATATGTTTAATATCTTTGATATTTAAAAGATAAAAAAAATCACACCTCGTGAGGATATTTCATTCTTCGTATCAACAACCACTTCCCTATTTTTTTTTTCAGACGACCTGCCAGTTTTGTTCAGTTAAAACTGGAATGTTGTATAATTGTGTTCATTTGTATCCCTTGATCATTCCGTTAATTTCGAGTGTGTAAACCAATAAAATTTAACTTTGGAAATACAGGTTTTCAGTTTAGTCACTTTTTTTTTAGTCATAATTTTCTAAATATCTTTGGCGTTTGGCAACACTTTAAAGGTGACGCTAAGGCAGCATAATAATCTATTTTGGTGCCCCTAATTACTGTTTTAATCCACAATTAATTGGCTTTTTTAATAATGTCCCTATATTTTCTTCTAGCTTTATCTTTATCCCTAACCGGAGACAGCAATGAAGCATGACAAACAAACAAAACAACACCAATTTTATCTAGGGTAATATAAAGGTAGCCTGTTACCGACGTAGAACGAGGTACAATAGTGAGTGGCGGTAAATCGAGGGATGTTTCACGACCCGACCATTAACTTGTCTCGTTTTTTCACTCCTCTAATAGTAAAGTGCTGTTTACTATCGCACTTTGTTTTACTTACTGAAAGCCTGGAACAGGCTGATATCAAGGAAATCATGGTTTCCCGTAAGTATTCGAACCTAATCAATTTTCTTTGCATTCCTGATGCTTAACATGCCGCGAGCCCGATTCTAGGCAGAAGGAAAAACCTAAATATACATAAGATTTAATTGTTGTTACTCACTTGACTTACGCCTTCTGAGGATCTTTGAATTTAGCACTGGACGCCATAATGATCAATTTTGGTGGCCCATATTTGTCAACCCCTCACCACAGTTATTTGATTCTGGTAGGAGTCCATTGCCGTAGTGGTAATGGACTGTGGCCTAAGTTCATATCCCTAATCGAAGGCAGCTGGGAACTATGAAAGAAAGAGGGAAAAAAATTAATTGCAATTTTCCTTAAAGGAGATTGTCAAACAAAGTAAATCATGCCTCCTCGGGAGTATGCGAACCAAGTCCAGTTTCTCCACATTTCTGACGCGTGACTTGCAATATAATGAGCTATTGTTCAGTCACGCCCGCAAGTGTTCTCGACCTTGATATGCCGTCTCTTCTAACTGAGAATGAGCTCTAGCTTACCACAAATGTCTTCCAATGGCATCTATGAAAGTTAATAGGCAATCCTTGACTAAGAATAGCCAGGTTTAGCGTTACAATTTGTCATATGGCTATCATGATATCAAGGTCAGCGTATCCAAAGCAACAAAACAGGAAGTTAAAAGCCTCGTTTCCGAGCAGAAGGG